ATCACTGCTGCTTTGGTGCCATGTGTGGAAATGGGATGGGCTAAATTTAGAGAAAAAAGAGAACACCGCACCGTTTTTTTCCTCTCTATTTCGAGAATTCGGTTCGTCGTTTCTACTAGAATTGTTTTACACTCAGGAAATCAATGAAATACGCGATAATAAAAAGTGTGGTCTTTTCTTCTCTGTTGTGCCTGTGTGGAGTGCGTGGTAGTGTTGCTCTTAATGTGAAATGAGAGATGAATCTACATAATGCCCGCATTCTCACTCACTCGCTCCTTCTATATTTCGCAAACCTGTCGTACAGCAAAGTCAAGAGTGGTGTTGAGTAGTACTAAAATTCTGCTCGGGGGCAGGAAGGCACTTACTTTCTCTGCCTCGTAATAAAGTGGAGAATACTGATTTCTTTATACATATTTTATTTTATTATGAAATAAAATTCAGTTTTCGATCCGTTAATATTTTTTTTATTATGCCAAATGAAGAACGAGACTCGTGTTTCGAGCCAAAAATAAAAATCAGACGCGACTTCTTTGCATTTCAAATATTCAAGAAAAAAGTGATTAGTCTAAGAAAATCGTGATTTTATGTGTGTTTTATTATTCGTAAAAATTGACCTAGTTTCTTATTTTTAACCAAATGCCAAACACAGAAAATAGGAAACGTTTCGTTTCCTCCTAGAAAAATAATTGCCTGACACTTTTGACGTGAGAAGCAAGCAGTTAACAAATCACAGACATATTTACACCATACAAACCGTCAAAAAAAGAGGGTGACCTTGCGACACTCAATTTTCAAAGGTCCCTGAGTAAATTTTAGGTAAACAAAAAAAAACGAGTAAAATATTCAATTTGTTTATCCTCCCGATTTTTAGTGAATGTCTGCTACAAAAAAATGCTTTCCTTTGATGACGTCCCAGAGAAAGTGCAGGTTTATAAAGAGAAAAATCGCTACATATTTGACGACTTGGAGGAGAAAGTGGTGGTGCAGCATCGTGCTGGGGAGATGGAGTCGTCGGATTATGATTACTTACTCGCACTCTGGAGAAAGAATGAGAGTATCACTTTCCATTAAAATTTAAATTGAAATTCTTTCCCACAATCTCAACAACTCGTACTTTCTCCCACTCACATCACGGACCACTGAACCGAGAGAGAAATTGTATGTAGTGGCTGAGCGAATTACAATTACGAATTTATAAAAGGAGTCGAATTAATGCGTCTGGCTAAAGAAATGAGAATGAATTTTGAATTTCCTAAATAATGCTTTCGGCCTTTTTTCTTCTTCACGGGGAACCGAACTCGCTGAAATTGTGGAGGAATTCTTCTTTCGCTGAAATGTTTTAATTTTGACCCAATTTTTTTTTCGCTGTGCGAAATCCAAACATGTCAAATGTTTAATTTTTTTATTCACACAGCAGACATAAATTTTCGGATTATTTTATATTATTAATGTTATTACTTGGTATTTTGGCAGATGGAATTTCTTCCCAATTTCGCACCAATTTTTTCTTCCGTGGAGAATAAAAACCTTGAGAAGAAGAGAAACAGAGGGATGAAAACAGTGGTAAATAGTTTCCGGAGAACAACTTCTAGTGGATAAAGTATCTCTTTGTGTGTCCTATTTTTATTCCTTGTGTTCTATTATATTTTGGTGAAAGAGCAAACAAGAATGAAACAGAACACAAAGTATTTCATCTTCACGAGTTTTTTTCTTACTTTTGTCATCGCGAAACTCTTTGGGAGAAAGTGGGAAACATATTAATTTAATGGCATGCTGGGTAATTTAGCTAATCGGCTCGAGTGGTGAGAGAGAGAGAGACGAAAGTAGAAAAAAGATGCAGACTAATTTTTTATATACATACTTTCTCCAAGATATTTTTCAATTTTGGTGACAAAAGTATCCCAAATTTGATATACATTTGTTTATGCAGGGCAAGTTTTAGGAAATGAGACGAAACATGCATACATTTTCACCTTGATCTAGTCATCAAAGAGAGGAAAATGACGCACGTTGAGCTTAATTCCGGAAAAGGGTTACGTGACGAAGTGGTCGAGATGGATGAAGTAATATGACGACGACGTCCTCTTGAGATGAGGTTTGTTGTGCATTTTTTATTTATTTTTCCGCCCCAGACTTTGATTTTGATTTACTCTCCCTACCGAATTGGCCTTTTCCCAAGCAAGCAAACTCAACACAAGCCAATTAAGACAAGTGTTCTCTCGCACAAAGTTATAACTCCACTTACAAAACTCCGCAGCAGGTGGTGGCTGCTGATGTGTGTGTGGAGAGAGCGGAGAAAAGTTGCAGTTTCCGGGTGGTACACGTAAACAAATCAATGCAATGTTAAACATGTTGTGATTTCCAAAAATCTTTGTAATTTGCGTGGTGAAATTGATTTTGGGTCTTTTAAAGCTAGCAATTTTTCTCAATCAAATCAAATTATTATTCCCGCAGAGATTTTAATAAGTACTAAAACTTAATATTTTTGTAAAATTTAGACGTTGACAAATAATAAAATTGCAATTTGACAATTATTCGAATCTTATTTCAGATTGGACGATTATACCTGATGGTAGTTATTACTTCGCAAATAGCAATTTTTATAGAGTGGCTTCACTCCATCAGACTTCTTGCTTGATCCTATCCAATCTCGACTTTCACTGGTGAGAAACAAGGGCAGTGGTGCTTCCTACAGTTTCCTCGTGCCAGGAGAAAGTGGAGAAAGCGACACAGAGAAGAAAAGCCTTTGTACTTGAGGTGTCAGAAGTTGAGAGGTGGCTAATTGGGAGCCAAGAGAGAAGAAGACCGAGCTCCTCTACGTACTTTCTCCTTCCGGGTCCCAACATTGACCGAGTTGTTTAACTTTAACGTCACACACGCGTTTCTTGGAAGATGCTGAAAATTATTTATAAATTGGTCACCACCACCACCGTCGGAATTTTGAGATTTGATGTCTCAACAATTTTTTTATGTCGTCGTCGTCGCCGTATTATGCAATGTTATCATTACTTTTTCATTCCTTACTTACCCAACGGCACAACAGAACACTGAGTTTTTTATTACGTCATAATTTATTTACGGCGCTTTCATAACTTGCAATTAGCGGATTTTAGAGACATTCATCCTCCTACTTCTTGTGTCCTAATTTTACAGGCGACATCATAAAGCAACAGTTTCGTTCGTATGGCTGACGAGGATGAAAGAAGGTAATTACGTTTTATTGCAGGGGGACAAATATTGACTTAGTTTTTTCCTCAGTTTAATTTATAGCGGGCTAGTTTTCCTCCTTATCCTGTCATAAAATTGGGTGTGATATGAATTTTATTCCGTGAAAGATGGCCGTTTGATTTGTAAACTTGCCATTTATTTTTTACACTTGACCTGCCGCTCGCTGCCTGGCCTTTGTTTCGTAACGAAATGAAATGAATAATAAAAGTAATTAAAATTAGATTTATTTCCACGAAATGTTTTATTAACTTGGAGAAAGTTCACGGGGAACGGGGGCAGGAGCGGAACTGGAGAAAGTTGGCTTCCACTTTCTCCAAATTTGCTATTTATATATATAAATGTACGTTTCCTAAAGTAGGAGGGAGAGCCACACACGCATAATAATTCTTATATAAATCTCATAAAATTATTAATGCCACACTTGCGGTTTTCTTATCCAAACATTTTTTGCGAGCTTATAGAGATCCGAGAGTGAAAGTAGTAGTGAAAGGTTAAACAAACATTGTTGCTGCTGCGGGTGGGATAACTTTTGGAGATAAACTCGACCATATCAGGGCTCGTTTTTTACCCTTACTCTTTTTTTTCTCTGTGCGAAACCATCCATCTAACAGGATCTCGAGTCAGAGTTCTCACTCACCTTGATAAATTATGAATAACGTCTTTGCGAAAAATTCCATTTCCTTCCTCATCTCGCATTCTCATGTGTGTAAGGGCCGTGTTGGGCTTACTTATTAACGAGGGGGCTGTGCATTGAAGGGAGACGAGATGAGAATGAAATTATGCATGATGGTGAAAAATGGTGCAAGTGAAAGCTTAGCGGATGAATGACGCAGTTTGATGATAAGTAAGCGTTTAGTTAATTTATGAAAGTTTAGAAATTTATGGAGTGTTAAGCGCCGATAGATTATTTGTGGGAAATTCATTAATAAATTTGTTATCGTAGATTCCTTGGTCATCTTTTTTGAAAATTTAAATTAGTGTTCGTTTAAAAAATTGATACAAACGCAGTTTAATTTTTCTAAATTACAAAATTTGTTTTTGGTACTGTTTAAAAAGCTCTGCCGGATAACGTCTCAGATTTTTGTCTGTATTTTGTTAACAAACAGTAATCATATATTTTGTTACATAATACGTAATTTTATTCCCAAACAATTAAAATAATTCGCATTTGTTCTATGAAATCTCACCCTCACCGAGTTACACGGGCCTAACAATGGGCTATTTTTACCCACACAAGTACGTATGCAATATGTACTTTACACGGGCCAAGATTTGGCCTGCCTGCTACCGTCCCTTTTTTTACACACATGGTCCATTCGAGAAAGTAGAGTACAATACGGAACGAACGCGGAGAGAGATCGATAGATTGCCCGTGAAGATAAAGTGAGTCCGAGCCCCAGATTATTATGTGATACTCATTTAATACGGAAAAGCAGAAGAGAGAACAACCCATAGCTGGCTGGCAATAAAAGGGAATTGTGCAATTATACATGTACCACTGCCACACTCCAATCTATGTAGTGCAAGCACTTGATCCCAGTTAATGACTCAATCCACGAGGGATACATTGTCCAAGTTGGCAATATTCGAGGCAATTCCCACCCGCACTCTGTTAAGGATAGGATTCCATGCAGTTCAGTTTGTACACAATTTCGTGCTTACTTCACCCGGACGAGGAAGTACTAGTTCCCCGTTTTAATTGGGACATGCAAATCCAGCCCGGGATTAAAATACGACATGGACACCGAGACAGAGTAAGTAAGTAAACTAACCTTGGTTTGACGCAATGACGAGGAGAAGCGTCGGAATGATGAGGAGTCGTGTCGGTGTCATTGTCAATGTCACTACTTGTACGAGAGATGACAATGTTGATGGTGCTGCTAATATATTCGGGGACATTTTGTTCACAAAATTCATCTCTGTCCGCCAGCCAGCATTGCGTAATACTTAAGACTTCTTGGGGTGAATTTCTTAGGGATTTAGGACCTGCTGCTGCTACTACGTCTTGATCTTCGTGTGTGCTTACTTAAGTTGGTTGTGGTTTTGGGCAGTCGAGTTGATGTTTATGTTGTTGTTCGCTTTGGAGGAGAAGTTTGTCACCTTCAATTTTATTCTGGATTGTTAAACCTGAAACCAATAAATTATGGGGAGACGTTTACATTCTGTGCCAAAATGGATGTATGGAGCTTCTTGCATAATCGGGGTGGTTATGTAAACTTATGCAAATATAAGTGAGTTAGGTAAGATTTGTAGGGTTTGTTTATGCGTAAACAATTATTATGAATAATGCAAGTTCCCATGTTTTACTATGGACGTACGTACGTCGAGCCATTGTTATGCAATAGGTGGGTTTGTTCCGTAAACAAAGTGGAAATTTGTAAAAATTTGTCGAATTTGAAAATTTTGATAAATGACAAAATAGCTAAAATTTTGCTGCCCCTTTTACAATATGGAAATTTATAAAAAATATATACTTCGAAAATCAGTTTCCTTCTAAATAATTGACAAAATATAACTCAAAATTTGTATGCACCTTTGATAATTAGGATATTTATAAAAAAAAATATAAAATTTGGAAATTAGTTTCCTTCTAAATGACAAATATTGAAATTTTGTCACCACACTTTCACCTCACTGACTACATAATTCGTACGTACTTGCTACTCCAACCTTCACCTCCTTCTTCTCCACGCCTAATCCGATCCGTTGGTAATAAATGCAAACTTTCTCCACCACCACTTTCACTCTTCTTTCAGGAGAAAGTTAGTTTCCCAACTTACTCACTCCGATTTGGATTGGAAGTTGACTAATTAAACTAATTGGTGCATGTCAACCCTGCCGTTCATCTTATGTATCTGGATACACATACACTTTGACGGAATCGAATTCCTTCCTCGGAAGTGAATGAAATGAATGAACCCACTTATTTATTCGTCCAATAAGTTACACACTTCCGAACAAATAAGGACATTTCCCAACTCGGGGGAGTTGCTTAAAATTTAATCTAATTTAACTCCTTCCGTCCAACTTTTCAATCCATTTCACAACATTACATAAAAATTAAAACTACGCGTAGAGTTCGCATTCATTCATCGTCGTAAACATGGCTTTCACTTTGATGTTCACGCCATGTGTGTCGCATATGAGAAAATATTAATTTCGGATTCGGTGCGTCATATGAATAGCTTTCACAATTCTGTTTACCAGTCAAGCAGGGATTTTACTTACCGCATCGGTTTGATTGACCAAAATAGGAGAGGATTTCCATAAGCCGAGAATGGTGATCTGGAGGATTAAAAGTTGCCAGCGCTCACTTACTTACTTCCAGTAATGGCCTATATGCACAGAATTATGGGAATGAATGAGTATGTTACTACGTACCAGTGTTTCTTTTTGTGCGCACGAAATTATTTTTATGCATGCATAGTGCACAAAAATGCATAAAAATGCATAAAAACGCACAAAAATGCATGAAAATGCACGAAAATGCATAAAAATGCATAATAATACATGAAATGCAACTTATGCTAGGAATTTCATATTTTCAAGAAATTTTATATTTTCCTACCTTGTCAAATTGCAATTTGTACACATATGGAATAACATGGAATTATTATTCGGCAGGAAAATTTCAAACAAATTTCAAGTATTTATTTGTTTTGTTATACAATACTACGTATTCAGCCGTTCATAAAAATCGTCATGTTCATTCATTTTCATTTTCAAAACTTTCATTCATTTTTCGTATTGAAAAATGCAAAATATTTTTACACTAAAACACTAAAATGATGAGGAAAATATCTTAAATAGCATGTCGATTCCTCAATTAATCGAATATTTGGAAAAATTGCATTGTTCCAATATTATTTGCATGCAAATTATTTTCGTGCATTTTCGTGCATTTTCGTGCACTTTTTCGTATTTTTAGTGGGTGTTATTAAACGTTTAAAACATTTTCGTGCACTATTTTCGTGCAGGTGTTATTTAACAGCAGAAACACTGCTACGTACATACGTATGGAATGTTAAAATTACGCACGTGATGGATCGACCGATGGAAATGGGCTAGTTGTTGTGCAAGTGGTTGAGGGTTGAATTTTTTTGTGGGGGCGTTTGTTGCCAATGTCGCAATCAAGGTTAAAGTTTCCTTTCCTGCAAAAATAGATATATATAAACTTATTAGGTTTAAATTTAAACAAGATTAAACCACATATTAAAATTATGTAGGACAACCTAATACTCGACGCATCTGTTATTCTAATAAAAATATTACCTAAAATAATTTATACCATCGACTTTAATCTCACTCAAACTTCATCAAATCTAGCCAAATTTTCATATTTTTCTACATATTATTCTACATCAAATATTTCGGCTAGTAAAATTGATCCGATTTATGTACACAACAATACAAACTCTGTTCGTGCTCAGATAACCAGTCCAAAAATAGAAAACTACTACTCCACACTACGTAAATAAATACACACACATCCATCCGTTCATTAATCAAGGCGATAAAATTGAATCGGAATGTTGAACTTGAGTTATCTCTACGCAGATCGCACAAGTTCCATTCATCTAGTTAATTCCGCTACACTTCCTGCACTCACTGGCTGGTGGAAAACACTACTTTCACTTTATTTCTCTCCCATTAAATCTGCATCAGCCGAAAGAGAAGAGGATGCAAAGCAAAAGCAAAGCACTAAACTCTTCTCAACTTATCGGACAAAATCATCGATTCGATGCTAACGAAAAGTCACTCTTCTCCTCTACAGAATCCAATCCAATCCAACTTTCTTTCTCGATCCGCTGATGCCCAGACTCATTCCAAGAAAGCCAAGAAGTTGGATTCACTTGCAGAAAGTGGAGAAATCATTACCAACACGTCTACAAAATCGACAGACCCAGACAGCTTCACGACCACAGAGAGAGAAGAGAAAGTTGGAGAAAAATGCAGCTCAAGTCGGAAGAAAATCAGGTTTGTTTCTTCAATCCTATAGTCATAAAAAATACAGGATTAACAGCAGCGCGTCAGGAAATGCAGTGCAGTACACACAAACCCGCTAAATTATTGAAGTGGAGACTGCAGCAAATCCAACTCCAACTTTTTTTCACCCCCTTGAAAAAGATGCATCTCCACAAATTCAATCCATACACACGCTGCACTCAACTTACTTTCACTCTGTCACAATAATAGAATTGAATAAAAGAGAGCAGTCCACGGATAAATTGCACACAGCAAATTTACTCCCGTTTTACTGCACTTTATTTTATCTCGATTTCCTTCAATTGGACAAAAAAAGAGGAATCACAAAAGGGAAGAAGCCGACGGAGTGTGTAAGGCGGCCAGAAAGTGGTATGCCATCACTTTTGTTGATATATCAATACGTCACCCTCGCCGAGAGAAGAGTGTCATCGACAGTTTGGTCCATAGTACAGTGGACAAAATAAAGACCGTAGAGTAGACAATAGAGCTGGACGGACAATCCAATCTAGCCGAAAACTGGATAACCCGACGAGATGGTAGGAAGATACTGTGTCGCGAGACTAATAGTTGATGGGAGGGAGGAGGGCGAGGATGACATGCCACTCATTTTTCTCCACGGTGGGAGGGGACATTCATCCATCTTTTGTAATAAAATGCTGTCCATTTTCACTTACATGACCACCCAGAAGTGAACCTGGATTCTCTCTCAGGCTCAGAAGAATGGGTGTTTAATGGGAAATTGGCCTAATCGGTGTGGACGGAGGAGTGAGTGAAAGTGTTTGTGTCTCCGTGGTCCAGTCAAGTCAACGCAGCAATCAATTGACCATCAGTCAACTTTCCGTCACTTCCCCTTCGTCCTCTCGTCGATGGATTAAGAAGAAATGAAACGAGGAGGAGAGAAAGTTCTGCGGTGGTCTCGATTTTCTCTGGATTTAATTTGATCATGTAACTTTTTAAAAGTTGGGGTGACAGACGTGGTTTGTGGTGAGGTTTTGAAATTGAATAGAGCGACCAGACCAGACTATTACGTAATTTTGTAGGGAATTTAATTTGGGAAAATTGTATCAAAGAATCCAAGCTTTTTTAAAATACCTGATAAATCTTGAAAAGTCTAATAGTTTGTGCCAAAAATTGTCGAGTATAAGATATCGTATGTAACACGGATAATTAATCTATGACATTAATAGTTTCCATTAACCTAAATATGTAGTATTTTACATTGCAAATATAACAAAAATATAATTTTGGCGTTATTCAATTCCAACCCATTTTTTTACTACAATCCAAACCTGACCCATAAAGTGTTTCCCCATTTATTTCGTTGCATTCCCCTCACGCATCCCACAAATCCGAAACCAATTACAAGATTTATAACCCCAATAAAAAATATTACAAGTTTGCCTGCCAACTGACAACACACATGAAGGTCGTCCTGCCATTAGACCAACAATGGAATTCAGACCTTGCATTGTGTTTCTAGCACAAAATCTGACGAGAACCAAGCAACACTTACAGCCTGGAAATAGAGACGTAATGAATTTGGCAGTAAAGAAACAACACAATAGGATTGAGTGATTACTTTTACTTTTCCTGAAAAAATCCACCCCACTCAACTTTCCCTCGTAGTCAATAGACTGAGTAAAAGTAAAGATTAGACAATTGCTGTGTGTGTGTATCGACTAACAAGGGACACTCACGACCTGTCGTTTGAGTCCAGGGTACCCACCATGTTTTTTAGAATCTACTAGGACCCCAGATGAAGGATTCATTCATATTTCCGTGTAAAACTCATATTTGGCGACGTGGCGTGGCGCCAAATTCGCCAAAATTGAATGTTTTTATTTTTGAAACCGCCATAACTTTTGAAATTGTGGACGGATTTTCAAAATTTTTGGCAAAAATCATGACAAGGAGTTCAACTTTCTTATTCCATGAAATTTTTTCTAAAATTATCGCTTTTAACTTTTCGCAAAATTTCGTAATTTTCTTCGAAATGGGGGTTCGTCGAAAAAATCCTAAAAATATTGCAAAAATTAGAAATTTTTTATTTTTATTTTTTGTCAAAAATTTCGACTTTTGTGATCATTTTAAGCATAAAATTTTGAAAATCCGACATAAACTGCAAAAGTTATGAGGGTTTGAAGTTGGTCGAAAATGTAAATTTTTAAGTTTGGCGCCACGCCATGGCGCCAAATATGAGTTTTACACGGAAATATGAATGGATCCTTCATCTGGGGTCCTAGTAGATTCTAAAAAACATAGTGGGTACCCTGGACTCAAACGACAGGTCGTGAGTGCCCCTTGTAAGTTGCGTTTTTGTGACACTTTTCCTCTCGTTTTTTTCTAAAAGAATAAAAGACACGCATCTCCCCGGGAGAATTACTATCCGTTGTATTGCCTTCTGTGTACTTCCACCCGACCGAGATAAGAAGCAATGGAAGAATGAGACACACAAATTAAATTGGTTTTTGTTCCGGAGAACGTTGCATGTTGCACACATGAGACGTTGCGCTGGGTGACATGAATGAAACGTGGAGGTTGTAATTCGGCCTTGGTCAGCCTTGTTTCTTTGCTGGACACAACACAATTGTGGTCACTTTCTTTTCTTAATTGACACTATTTGAATGAGGATTAAGTAAAGATTTATTTTTTGGAAAATATTTTTTCGCATTTTTGCTTATTTATTTTGAAAATGAGCAGGTTTTATTGGTGGAAAATATTTTTTTGGATGGGATTAAGTAGAGTGCGTGTCTAAATTCGTTGAGTGAAAAAAAACCTGAGATTATTGCTCCAGCGTTAATTAATCCGACAACTGCATGCATGCCCTCAACTGCAACTGCAGGACGCAGTCTAGTCACTTATTTCTGACCATTGTGATGATTAAATGCGTAAACTGCATACATGTAGAAAAACCTCTCACACGAAATTAACCCTCACAGTGACCCAGCTGCACGGGGCAGATAAGACGAATTTATTTTTTCAAGGGTAGCAAAATCGATCATACTTTACGTCCGTGAAGTGCGTGGCAATAGTGACGTGTGCCCCGGATTAGGATTAAGGATTAGGCGAAGAAAGAAAAAAAGGAAGTGAAGGGGGAAAGCAAATTAGAAGGTAAGCCTTTCTCCCTCCCACCACCCGTAATTGTCCTCGGATTTAATTCCTTTTGCGTCACTTGGTCAGAGAAAAGAAAGTCTCAGCTATGTACTAAAATTTTAATTTTCTTCAAAAATGCACATACAAAGTTTCCAAATTAATTTGTAAAATTTACTTTAGTACTAAACCCCTATCTAATTTTGGACTTGGCCCAATTTCGCGAAATTATTTCGCCAATGAAAGTACAGTCCAGGAAACAAAAGGTTGAGCAAGTAGAACGAAACCTTGCGCCAGACTCGACCAAAGGAAACCACACGTGATCCTGCCCCGTTTCACTTTCACTTTTACTTTATGTACATTTCGTTTGAATTACTGTGTGCATTTGAAATACCGGAATTGTTATCGCTAACCTCTCTTCTCTTCTTCTGTACTTTCACTTTGCTCCTCTTCTCTCCACATACGGACGAACGTACACTTTGCCCAACAAGGTGAGAGAGGATTATGTTGCACTTGATGGCAAAACTTTCTCCACTCTGAAGAGAAGAGAGGATTACACTCCGCGGAGGAGGAGAAAGTCCTGGCTTAATCTATATGCAGCACCACCTGGTCACCTAGATATTAGTGTAAAACCGCGAATATTTCCATCACCACTGCAAAATTCTGTGGTTTCACCATTCAGAAAAAAAGTAGTGACATGTGTTGTCCTCCAAAACCAGGGGACTATCTATCTAACCACTAAAATCAACTTACTCTTAGTTCCGCGAATAGGAGGACGCAGAGTGACAAAGTTGCACGGAAACATCAACATTGTCGTGGATGGGAAAAGTTTGGCTAGTTGGCTGGAAACACAACTTTCTTCCTCTTCAACAATCTAGAAACTTTCACCACCACGAAACGTAACCAAACCACCAACTCTATCATCGCAAAGTGTACGGTTTTGTTACATGGTTTGTTTATCTGTGGTCTAATTTGAGCCAACAGCGACAGGCAGGGAGACAATGACACCCGAGATCGTCTCACTAACTTTAAGGTGCAACATGTCATTTTTTAGACAGATTTATGTTTTTTGCTC